ATGAAACAGTACCAAAGTATTTCTCAAAATTAGAAAGCCCTGAGGTATCTAGAAAGTGCACCTTTACATGCCATTAGCAATCTGGTTTCTATGAGGTTACACAGGCTGTCAGGAACTTCAGCATGCCTGACACTATCTGACACAGGCTCAGGGCCCATTGCTCACATATTACAGCTTTAGGAGTCATGCAGAGTATTGCTACATTTTCAGTGTGCACTTTTGTTGTCTGCTGCTCCTTCAATTTTTCTCAGTAACTCAATGACTCTGAAATCAGACCAAAGAGAAAAAGAATCAAAGTATTTGAATCATCTCCTAATGAAGCAATAAAAAGACTGCACAAATCTCGGTAAAAGCTGAATCCAATCCATCCTGATATTGTTCTATATTGATATTGTGTTCTATATTTTGTAAAACTCTGCTGTCACAGGGAAAACCTCCGGTAAAGTACAGACCAAGCTGTTTCTATGAAAATCACTGGGAACAGGATGGACCAGCAGACAGGAACTATTCTCACACCAAATAGAAATAGGGTAACACTCCTAACACATTGGTTAAGACTACCTTTCAACCTAATTAAAGTTAGATTTTTTTTTTGTCTGGTGGTCTGAATCAGTGAGAAACACCAAAAAAGCTTTCTGGAAAGGCTGCTCTGAAGCTGCCTAAAATTCTTAAAATGAACAATTTTAAGGAAACATTATTTCACAACCTGTTCCCCCTTCAAACCAGGTTGGTGAACTCTCAAAAATACTTTGGAAGAGCAAGAGTATTTTTATAAAAAATAAGATGGTTTCAAAGCATAAGAATACTAGTTATTATAAAATGTTTCATGTGAAGATATCACGAAGCTCATTGACTCCAACATCCAGTAGTCTGCTTATGCATGAACATGTACATACCTTATGCTTTTAGGAAGAAACTAGATTTTTAAAAAATCACAAAAGTATTAGAGCTTGGCAACCAAAAGAAAAGCTGAAATGGCCAGTGAAGAGGTATCTTGATCTTTCCTCTTTATAGTTTCTACAAAAAACCCACTAACTATCACCATTTGTGCTGGTGCATTCCTTAGACAGACGTTGGCCTTCACAGGGGTGAAGTGTGGGACCAGACCAACTGCTTTCACCAAGAACATTATTTTCAGAATTAGGCCCAGAAACTGTTGTTATAAACATATAATCAGCTTCCAAAGTCCAGAAGATATTGCTATAAATGTGTGATCAACCTCTACCAGGTATCTAAGTCCTGTTATGAATTATTTGAAACTGTCCCTCAAAGCCCATAAATCTCCAACTACTGCTCTCCCAGACCAATCCCCACTTCATATTTAATGCTACTTCCTAGGCCTGAAGAGGGCTTCAGCGCAAATGAAAAGCAGTGACTGACAAACTCCTGCTCTGAGGAGCAAGAGCCAAGAATTTCAGCCAGAAGCAGCCACTGACAGTGTTATACTCCCCCTGCAGGCCAATGACAGAAGCACCATCACAGCAGCATCTGCTTCGTACAGAGCCCCAGAAATACTCTGATTGCTTTAAATGGTTGACTTGATAGCCTTCCTGCTCTCCCATTTCAACATCTGGCAAGTCCTGCTTTATTTTCAGCTGAATGCTTTTAGGTGCAGGCCCTGCACGATGACAAACTTCCCACATGGCACCGAGTGGTCGCAGATTCAGACCACCAGACCAAAAAAAAATCTAATTTTAATTAGGTTAAAAGACAGTCTTAACCAGTGTGTTAGGAGTGCTGCTCTTTGATGGAAGGACATCTTAAATGTGACAACCCTCTGCAGACATAAAGCTGAAAAATAAAATTCAATAACACTTAAAACAATTGAAATTTCTAAAAAATCTCTTTAAAAAGTCAAGTACTTCTGCGAGCATGAGAAATAATGAGGCCTGGTTCTCTATATTCATGTTTCTTATCCTTGACTGTTGTGACCAGAGCCTCTCTTCAGCTCAGGTGTTTAATAAAGGCCCATACCCGCCTGGATTCTCTGTTGTCTAACTATAGTTGAGCTCACAGTGAAGTCTAACATTCTGCATGGCAGAAAGTGCTCTGATTTTCAGCATTTTAGTGCACCTTAAGTACAAAAATGAATTCTCATCAGTGCATGCTTATTAAGCTATGTTATTCAAGCCATCTTCTGCCTTCACAGTTTATGTAATACAGGATATTTTCCAGGCAAAACTTAAATCCACAACACTGTGTAGATAGAGCACTCAATTAGCTCTGTCTCTTAAAACTCATTTTCCTCCTCCTCTTCTATTCATGTTTCTGACACACAAGTCAGAATAATTTTTAGAACTCCAATTTTGCAGCCCCCTCACTGCTGTTGCACCTCCCACTACTTTCTCAACAGGCTCTTCTTTAGTGAAAAAGTGAAATCAAAAAATCACTTTTCAAAAGGAAAAACATCTGGCAACTGCAATTTCCATGACAATGTCTTGACTACAGACAATTCTCAATCTAAGCCTTGCACTCAAAAGCACACTGATGAATTTTATAGGCATATCTCTTTTTATCCTCTCCTTGTAGAAAGCAAAGCCTACCTAGTGAAAATTTCACTCCACAATTGCATGTCATACTTGAATACTTATTTACAGGATTCATGTTATTTTTCTAATTATTCAAAACAGTTTCTCTAAAACACATCAAGGATGCCATACTGCTCCTCACTGCTCTGTCCACACAGGTGTAGCTTTAGAAGACCAGCTACATCTTATCTTTAGCAGAACATGTGGCCATTTATTGCACATTTATAAAGCTGCAGATGATAGGCTCATATATTATTGCACTTGTAATTACATGATCACAGGTAATTCCTCTCAGAGCAATAAATAGTGCTCAGCACGTGCCTGTCTGCCTCCACTAACTCCAGCAGAGCCTGACAGTGATTTAAGCAAAAGCAGAGCTGTTCCCTGACTCAGAGCACGATTTGCAACGCAGGTCATCCCACATAATCACATCTGAGCACAAAGTTTAGGTGCTTTGCACTTAATCAGCCAGTAGTGGCAGAACTAATTCTGCCGTGGTCAGCTGCTGAATGTTCTGTCTCCACCTTCCCACAGCGAGATTAATGCCTCCACGTGATTCCAAGGAAGTGAAACACTGAGCTACCTATGCACACCCCATTACAAGATCCATCCAATATTGTACTTCGAGGAAAAACATTTCTGAAAGGCTCAAAATTTGGCCTAACATTAAAGCTGATGTCAATACTCAAAGGTAGTTTCCTTTTACAGAAAGCCATTCCTCTGCCAAACCTTTAGCTTTCAATTTCCAGTATTTTGAGAACTAAAGCTTTCCAAAGGAACACAGATTTTTTTTGTTTTGGTTTTTTGTTTTGTTTTTGTTTGTTTGTTTGTTTGGGGGGGTTGTGTGTTTTTATTAGGATTCTGAAGCACTTTTCAGATTTACTCCCCACACATTCTTATTCAGGTATTCCATTAAATTTTCAACCTCTTGTAGAATCAATCTGGAAATCTTTACACAGAATGGTTAAAACTGGAGAAAGCTACAAGCAGCTGGGAAGTGGAGCTTTGAAAGGAAACACCTACAAATCCTAAACTAAAGCTGTTAACAGCACTTCAAAGCACTATAATGCCTACAGCATCTTCAGATTATCTCAGCTCATAATAATCTTCTGAAAAGCTTTTCTAACAAGAACTAGTTGGTTGCCTTGGAATCACAGCTAAGGGAGAGCGGGTCCTCCAGCCAGCCAATATCACGAGCAATTAGCACCCTGGAGTCTGTGTGAATGCTCTGAAGACCACAGACGATGCATCCACCTAGAACAGTCAGAGCTTGCCATGGTCTAGTAGCAATTTATGGTCCTATGAAGCTGACAACTGTGCTGACACGTTTCTCATCCACTACTGTGGGCAGTAACAGCTAGTACATTGTCTACACTACTGCTTAACCAATGCTGGCTTTACTTTTTCTCAGATTGTGTCAAATTCTAAGGTAGTTGGACTAAATCCAGATTTCAGCCCACAGATGTCATGGTCATAATATATTCTGAAGTCAGACTAATGACAAGTTACATGCAAACAGAAGTTCTCATGATAAAAGCTGTTCAGCAATTTCCCACTAGTGAAGTAAGAAATCAAAATCTTCTGTGGGTGACTGTAATCATATTCCCAAACTCTGCCAATCCTAACAGACTTTTTTACAGGTTCACTTGATGAATATTTGTTCTACAATTTACAGATTATTTCTCTCCCAAAGCATAGGACTTTTGTTATCAGATTTGCACAAATGAACTATGTTATTCCCCTGAGATACAAACATCTCTGCTGGATGAAGACAGTGACTGAGATTCCAATCCCATACATAGTTGAATAAGATTGCTTAGTTCCACCTACTCAGCTGCCCCCTGCATTAGTGCATTTGATGTTCAGGACCTTTTGAAAAAGGAGGCTATTTTCCCCACTTTTGTAAAGTGGGAATAATCATCACCATCACTCCTTTGATGGAAACATACCAAGATTTAATAGCTAAAATATTTGTACTATTTAGGCATCATAAATCCCCATTCTTTTTGACAAAGCAGAGCAGAGGCAGGTTAGTCAGTTCATCCTAATTTCCTCCTTTCACAGACCCTTCACTGGAGCACAGGAACCAGGCACCTGTGGAAAAAGTCAGAAAGGGAAAATGCTGCTCAGCCCACTGCCTCTGCAGCTGCCTCCAGGAAACACTGCTAGTCCAGAATGTCAGTAGCTGCAAGGATTGGATCCAGACCACAGTTCTTCTACTCCATCCCAGTGATTTGGGAGTCTTCCGACTTAAAAGATCACAGTTCAAAGAGTGTATTGTAAAAGAGACCACGGGACAGGGCGAGGACAGCATTGCTCCTATATAACTAGAAAACATACAGCATGACACAGTCCCTACAGTAGGAGAAAGAAAACAAGGAAAGGCTAAAAATAGGAGGAGTATTAAATTTAGTGAGGGATCACACTTAAATGTGCAAGAACAGGTACACAGGCTCAAGCATGCCTACCCACCTCTCTCCATTTCCCATGTGTAGCCCTTTCTTATATGTAGCTCTCCTTCCAAGTGTGTTGGAGTATTCTGCAGGAAAAGTGCGATTTTTAAAAAAATATAATTAAGGTAGTTACAATCATGCAACAGGCTCTCAGAAACACATCTCGGAAGAGCACCACTTCTTTCCAAAGACATGAGCACCCTCTGCTGCCCAAGGACAGGTTGAGCACCTTATTTAAACCTCAAGAATTCACTTCTGAAATGATCAGTTAGAAGCCATTGCTATCTCTTCCTAGTACACCTAGAGCTTAAAAACTAGTAACCTCATAAGAGGAGGTAGAAATGACTAAATGATAAAGCACAGATCCCAACAGCCAGGGTGATGAAGTCCTTTCACACAGGAAAACTGAGACACATGGGCAGGTGGCCTTCCTCAATGCCTGGCCTTCCTCAAGGCCCACCCTCCCAATGCCAATCCCACACCCTCCCAAAATTCTCAATACCACAATTCTTAAGTGAGTATCAGAGCTGCCCACCCTAGGACAACTCATAAAGGCACCTCACAGAATTTATCTCATAACTCTAATAGGCACAGAATGTGAGAAAAAAAAAGCCAAACTTCTACCTCTTGTATGTGCTCGTCTGATCTGAGATACGCTAATTATATATGAAAATACTTGCTAAGCTGTCATTCTTAGTATTAAACTGTGACAGCATGCTCCAAAGCCCTGCCATACATAATTTACTCCCCTTATGCTGTTTTTTGCTTTCCATTTTCCTGACTGGGAGAGAACTATGGGGTTCCACCCACACAACACTACTGAGTGACCTCGGTGTGCTGCTGAGGCACCAGAGCCTCTGGTTTCCATCTGTATAAGGACACAAGGGAACACAAAATATTGGATGCATTAGGCAAAGCACAGTGCTCACTGTCAGGAAATAGTACTTTTGGTGATTATTTCTCGCAGCTACAATTATAGTTAAAAGTCAATGTTTATGGAAAAGCCCTCTTCAGACTTAGAGCAATAGGTAATAACTGGTTGTAGTTATTACCTACAACCATTGTTTCTCACCAGCCACTTCATGACTAACAGAGTATCCCACCCAGATATACTAGATCACCATAGGATTCTAGAAACTGACACTAAAATGGGCAACTGAACAGCTAAAACCACTTTTTAGAGGGTCACTATTCCTTTGGCTTAAAGGAAACAGACACCATCAAACAGAAAAACCTAAAAGGTTCAGTTATTAGTGCTTAGCCACTGGCCACCAAGGCATTCAGGGTCTGGAGAGCAGGACACGTGAGGAGTCTGGGAGAACTGAGCCCACTCAGATTAGAGAAGGCTGAGGGTGACCTTACTGATGTCTGCAGCTGCCTAAGTGAAATACACCAAAAAGATGGAACTAGACTTTTCCTGAAGGTGCACAGTGAGAGCAAAAAAAGCAAAGGAAACATGGAAACATAGAACATTCCAGTCATACACTTGAAAAACAAAGAATTACCAAGTGGGGGGTCAAGCACTGGCATAGGATGCCCAGATGTGTGCAATCTCCATCCTGGGAGATGTTCAGGACTTGCCAGGACACAGCCTGGAACAGCCTGGTCTGGTTAGACCTGTTTTGAGCAGGTTTGATGTCCCTTCCAACCTAAATGATGATTCTATGGTTGTAATTATAGCTTGGTGTCTCTTTGCCCAAAGGTAATGCTCATCCTTCCAAGCTGCTCCTGATCTAACACAGACTAGCTGGGTTCCTGTATTAATAACAATTTAGACGTACTTTCAAAAAGTGCTGAGCTCTGATGGTTAACTGTAAATTTTACCCACATCAAATCTGCCTGGAGCATCTCTAAATAACTACTGCCTCTGTCATCAAATTCTACTATTTTTTACTGCTAACTGAAAAATTGTACTTTTCTTTATTCCTGGCACTGGTTCACTGAGTAATTCCTGAACTTCTTGAGTTTCTAGCAATATATATATTTTTAAAAAACCCAGCATACCATTAGGACCAACATGTCAGTTATTAAGATCTGTACCCACAACCCAAAGGATCTGGACAGACAACTCTGGGTAACAAAGGGAGATCAGTATCAAAGTTATCATCAGACAATGTTAGGTAACTTTGACTATCACAATGTCACCTGTTTGAGCCACCCCATCAGAAGAGCCATCAATTAATCTAAAATTACATTTGGAGAGATGGTAATTTCTGCAAGCCAAAGCCAAGACTTGGCTACAGTAGGAGGTAATTTATCCCATGGATTCTAAACCTCTCAACTTTGTATTTGTAGGGTGGTACTTTATAAAGCACATAATGTCATAAACATGTCAACATCAAACCCAAAATGAGCTCTTGGAACAAAGGAAAGTTATGGGGGTTTTCAAACAGTTTTGACAGTTTTCAAATTTGCTTGACAGAGTGCCAAAGAATCTGTTATTTTATCAGCTACATCTTATGCAATGCACACAGCCTACCTGCTGAAGAAGCAAATTTCCACTGTTTGCAATCACCATTCAAGACAAAACCATGACACTCTCCTGATGCTCACAGGAAGACTCACCATGAAATAAGAAGTTAGAGGCTACCTGATAGCATTCTGCTTATTTTCTCCTTACCTGCATACAATTTTTTTTTCCCTGTGATGAAATACTGCAAATGAGAGTTGGACATTAAGTACAGAGAATTGTCTTTGTGGTTGGTTCTGCCTTGCAAATTTTCAACTGACAGGATCAGGCCACTGTGCAGCTGAGGAAAATTCAATGTAATCATCAGCTGTCACTCGAGTGAAACTGAGTTTTGTTTGAAGACCAAAGAAGCAAAATTTCTTAAGCATTAGGAAAGTGTCTTTTGCAGAGATATTGCACATTTCCTGGAAAAGTTTAAATGCCTTTTTTTTTTTAATGGCAGCTGTTTTGCAACAGGAAGTAAGCAATTTGAAAATTACAAAAAGTCATTTTATAAACTTGCATTTGTTCAGGAAAGTCTATTAGCAGGGGAGAGTTTAGTCTGTTTATATAAGCAGTTCTGAATGACAGATCTTCATCAAAATTATTCCATTTTACCAGATCATCCAGTATGGTTGAGATCACTGGGTCCCAAGAGAAACTCCTATAAACCAACACGGCCCCATGAGCTGTTCTCCCTTTATAAAGTCTTCAGCTGAAAATCTGAACACGCCATGAAAACCCAGGCCTCACTATTGTCAAGTTCTAGAAATTCCTGATTCATTTCCTAAGACCCATTTCTAAAAAAAAGAAGTATTTTCCAGTGATGAATCAAAGCACTTTAAAAAATTTCTCATTTTTCTTCCCTGTCTTGTCTAAAGGGCGATGATTTCCATGTTGATGTTCTCCAAGCTGTGGGTTTTACTAATGAACTGATGAAAATAATAATTAGAGCAAACATAACACACAAGGTGTAAAATTTTCTGTTGAAGTGGGCTGAACTGCTCATCCCTTGATATATATAAGTGTTTTGTCAAAATTACAAGACTGCAAGCTCTGGAAACCAGGAAAGTAAATTTCATATATATTTTCCCTTAATTCTGCAAAAAGAACTAAGGTAGTTGGACACTTAAATTCCACTAATTCTGTCCTTCTACATCCACAAGGTCAAAACCAGAAATTAGACAAGTCACCTGGCTTCTATGTGCCTTGATGCCTTTATGCACAAGAAGGAAATAATTTGTCTGTCCTATTGTTCAAAGAGTCTTTGTAATGTAGGATGCAGCTGTCAGAATGCAGGGGTAACAATAACTGTTTCAAAGGGTGGAAGAAAAGGAAATCCTCTAAATTGCGCCTAGGCACAGAATTTCCACTGCAATCAGGCTCTGTATCTGCGGTGAACGGAGCCCATTGTTCTCTGGAAAATGCTGCACTTCCATATCTGAAACACTTTCAAGTGTCAGAGTGCACCAAACTTATGAATCAAAAGAAAATAATGTTGTTAAGATCATGGACAAATACATCTCTGTATGTGATTGTATGAAAGGTACCACCACAGAACAGTAGAGCGCTTCAGCAGCCAAGAGGGAGAGCACATCTTGGGTGGAGAAAAGCAGGTTTCCCTTTGGGAATTTACTGCTCCCTGTCCACAGCAGCCAGGTCTCACACAATTAGAAACCAGACACCAGAATGCACCAGAACTGATCTGAAATGCTGCCATTTGATGACAAGGAAAGCTGGTCTCCACTGATTAGCAGGCTGTAAAGCCAAAGTACTGTTTGACTAATAACTGCAGGATATTTCAGAACATTTGTCCCTTTACCTCAGCTTCTGCCACAACAGCAATATGTCTGCCCAGTTTTTACACACAACCACTTCCAGAGCACTGCTTGCACATGAGTGGAGTACAGGGTGTGACACAAATACCGTCCAAACTGATTCCACTAAAAGTTACTACCTTTTTCTTTCTGTGGCCCTGAGATGACTTGTAACAGGTTTTGATTTGAGTAGGGATATATGTTAAAACTTACTGAAGTTACATGATTAAGTGGAAGCAACATAGTACTAAAGGTTGGTCAAGCTTCCTAACCCAAAATCCATTACTTTCAGAATCTAATTAAAATGCTGAGGCTAAAGTCCAGCTTATAGGTCCGTATTAGAATCCACCAGAAGACATCTCTTATATTCTGATTTTGCTCCTGAGAAAAGATATTCTGAACAGCTTTAAGATGGGTCAGGTGCATAAAGTCATGGCATACAACAGTCAGCCCTTTCCCAGGATCCTGTGTCCACATGAGCAGCACTCATTCCCAAACATCTGTTCTCCCATCACCTTCCAGCTGCCAAATTATTCTTAATGCATTTTAGGGAACTGCCACAATGAAGGGCATATGAGTGGAAAATTAGTGGGTTTTTAAGTATGAAAGAAACCAACAGGACTCTGTAACACTTCAAAGCCAGAGAAGAAAGGTCCCACACTTCAAGGGCACAGGAGAAGGGCAAGAGAGGCAGTGTTTGGGAAGATAATGGAACGAGTTATTACATAGCTGGTTATTGAACATCTAAGACAACAATAACATAATAAAAGTTTGTCAAGAACAAATCTTTTCCTGACACAGTGAGAAAGGGAGAAGCCACATTTGTGACAAAAAGGCAACTGATAAGGCTTTTAATCTGACACCTGAGAATCTGACAAGCCGAATAAGGCATTGTGGCCTAAACTAAAGAGCAGTTACATCTATCATATGAAGATGTAATTAGGAATACTTCCCTGGCCAACTGGGAGTCAGATGGTGTACTACAATGATCTGCCATGCACCTGCTTTATTTCAGATTTTTCTTACTACTCTGAAAATGAAACTGAGAAAGCACACTTCCAGAATCTGGGCTGACAACTAAGGTGTGGGAAAGATTGCACGCATCTTAGAAGTAGAAATCAACATGATAATATGAAAATTCTATAGAAACAAATGCAAAGTATTACAATAAAAATTCAAATATGAGGGGAGAAATTGGCCAGATCACAGGAAATCTGATATATTTTAGGTTGTAGTGAGAGTGCAAAACAGTTCAGGAAATATGACAATATGAAGATCTAAGACACAAGAAACAAATATTTTGCTCTGTTCAGCTGCAGTGGAACACAATGTAACTGGGAAGAAACCTGCAGGTTAAACACCACATTTAGAGAAAACTGCAGGCAAAGTGGAAAATGACTACATTTTAAAACCACAGTTACCAGAAGAAAAATATTAAGAGAACAAAATTTGTTTACTGAAGAAAAATGTGAAATGAGGAAAGGGCAAAGTTAAAATCTTGAAGTACTTTTACAAATAAAAGACAAAATGGAATATCTTTAACCACAAAGAACAGAACAAATAATCACTGGTATAATTTCCAGCACAGAATGTAACAGGAAAAAACTCAGCCACCTATAAAAATCATCATGCAATGAAATTACGACAACTGATCATGTAGTTCCTATCACTGAAGGCTTTTCAAAAGAAATTAAACAAACATGCCATGAAACATTTTGTTAGAGGTTGCTATAAGATTTTGAACTGTTTAATGAAGTTAAGTTGGTATCACCTCAGAAATAAAAGGAGGTTAGAAACATATCAAACTCAGTGACAATCAATGTAAACAAACCAAATGCTTTACCTAAGGTACAACTCACAAAGCAGGACTTCTGCCGACGTGAATAAATTCAACGTGGGAATTGAAAATTACAGTTTTACCTGGATTAAACAGAACACTTGTAACCCCTTTATCTGAAAACAAACAGTGGCATTTCTATTTACGTGGCAAATGGTGATCTTGAGTTTATGCTCCGAAAGCAAGGTGCAAAATAAGCTGCTGGAGGGGCTGGGGAAAATTTGAGGTGCTGAGGACAGGTGTGTAAGGGTGGACCCACCCACAGGCGCATGTCCCTAACTACTGCATGTGTCTTGCATATGAGTCTGAGTACAAAATACAGCTCAAAACCGTTGATTTTTTAATCAGCTCTATAACACTGGGGTTTGCACACCATCTTGGGCAACGGGGACCCAGTTGAGTTTCATTACAATCACAGAATATGCTATGATGAAAGGGAACCACAAGAACTGAGGAGTCGAACTCCAGGCCCTGCACGTGGCAGCATCCAGAGTCATACCCTATGTCTGAGAGCATTGTCCAAACACTTCTCGAACTCTGACCAATTCCCTGGGGAGCCTGTTTCAGTGCCCAACCACCCTCCCCGAGATTAAAATGCAAACTGGGTTTTTCTTATTACTGCCCCTGCAATGACATCCTGTCGTCTGCCCTGCATTACTACACAGCAGATCCAGTCAAGAATAAAGACTGTGGCACCTGAAACGTATTGTCTCCTCCAAATGCACCACTGCCTTCCCGCCCGGTTTCCCGAGCTCCTGGCACAGTCTATTCCCCACTCAGGGCAGCTCCGGTGGGGGGCAGCAGCAGCAGCTTCCCAACAGCTGGGCACCAACGAGCCCGAACGGCCCCTTCAAACACCCCCCGGCCGCGCCCCGCGGGCCCCTCAGCCCAGGGCCGGGCGGAGCCAGGAACGTCCATCCCGCAGCCCGGAGGGGCTCTGCCCGCGGAGCCGCCGCTGTCCCCGGCCCCGTGTCCCCCCTCACCATTGCGATGACGGTAATGAGGATGATGACGGCCGCGATGGCGATGCTCGGCCCGCCCCTCCCCCGGCAACCGAAGCGCCACTCCCGCGCCCGGGCCCGCGATTGGGCGGGAGCGGACACGACACGCGGGGCGCCCCGCCCGCCGCCGGACGCGGAAGCTGCCGAGGTGACAACCGTGGGGGCTGTCGCGACGTCGCTGCTGCAGGCCGGTCTGTCGGGGCTGGGGCAGGGGGCCCGGGGGGCTGGGCAGGCAGTGGTTGTGCGAGGTCCTGGATCCTGCAGGGCTCGGCGTCCTGAGAGGTAATGATGCAAGCAGTGAGGGAGAGGGAGGAGGAGGGGACATGTTGGGAGGGCTTACAGTGCTCCCGCACGTAACTGGCCAGATTATAGTGTGAACTCTGAAGGAGCAGGATCACCGGCAGGTCGTGTCTGATGGAGCAGATAAGCCCAAATGCTCCTAATCAGTCTTTCGTTGAGTATTCTTGCCTCTTCCTGAGCAGCTATGCTTTTCTCCTCCTCGTTCTCATCAAGTAAATAGAGATCCTCAGTCAGAAGGAACGAACAGCACTGGTGATTAACAGCTAATGCTATTAAGTAAGGAAACACACAACTCCAGTTGTAGAAGCAACAGATGGTGAGACATCTCTGTATCTGTAGTTTGAGACAGCTCAAGGACGAAAAGGTCCGTCTGTTAATCACAAAAGATAAACCTGCCTGACACAAAACAAATCTTTAGTCTAGAAACCCGAAAGTAGCAGTGTGCTCACTGCTGCCATTTTCTTTTTAGGGCAGAGAGCTGCTGCGATGGAAGTCAAAAAGCTGTAGTTAAACCATTTCAGTTATTGGTTCAGGGAAAAGAAGCAAGGGCCCTGGGGATCTCCCTTGAATAATGGGGAGAATCCCTTTTTTCAGGGAAAAAAAAAGCCAGCCAAATAAGATAGGAGTATACTGATCTCAAAGGAACTTAGACCCTAGAAAAGAGGGATGAGAGACTTGTATAATTGAGAATGGATGGCTCTGTGGATGAATGTGGCAATGGTCAATACCTTTGGTGGATAAGAGAGAAAATGGCCAGGATGGTGGTTTGGGCCAAACTGGAGGTCAGCTTTTGTTGTTAGTTAAACTAACCATGTGCACCCCCTCAGGGCACTGACTCCTTCTTTGACTGAGAATTGGCCCTATCAAAAAGGTCGTTTCAGCAAGCAGGACTGAAGGAATTGTGCAGCTGCCATTGTTTCCTCCTCACCTCTTCATTTGCTTGAAGCACAATGTGGGATTTCCTTTTCTTGTGGTTCTGTGATTATTTTAGGTTATCTTGCCACGGTCATGCAGTTGTACTGTGGGAGTGTTACAGACTTTGAAAGGGTAAGGTGGAGGCTGACTGAAAAAAGGAGGGAGGGAGACTAGAAAAAAAAAAAAGAGGAATGGAAACAGGAACAAGATGAGGAGCAATGCAAAGGAGTTGAAGTGCAGCTCTTGGTAAAAAAAAGACACAAGTGCCAGAAGACTCACAATCTTCTCCTTTTAACTCTGTGTGTTTTGGTGTAGTTTTTATAATTTTGTGTTTTCCCCATTTGTTTTGATGTGGTTTTTTTCACTGTGCTACTGAACTGGAGTTTTGAGGTTTTACTAGAAAACAAGATAATCCAAGATTAACTGCTGTGGTGACCTTGCTAAAGATTTTTTTTTCCTCTTCTCCTTATTTCTTCCTCAGACTTACCTAGTTAGGAAGAGAAAATGACATCTCTAGAAAAAGGTAGGTTGTTCATATGACATCTAAGCAGACTTGATTAAAAAAGTTCTTTAACTGGAATTCTAAACACCAGCGTTACACTGTATACCCGTCTCCTTTCATTTAAACTTACTCCTTTTATGTAGCTATGAGGAAGTAGTTCTGTGACTTCATTCTTGCAGTGAAAACCAGAGCTGCCTGGATGGAACAGCAATTGAATGTAGTTTTTCTAATCCAGCTTGATATTGAAAAATAAGATTGTCATTGGTACTGTGATCTGTCTGTACACTTGTCTGACAGCCTCCTCTGGTATTTAGAACCTGTAGGTACTGATTCAGCAAACTTGAAAGTAAGGCAATTAATGGTGTGATTACAGCATTTTTGAAATCCATTAATATTTGGATAGAAGACACAAGCTCACATTACTGCCTGCAGTATGAGAAAAAAAAAGCAGTATGTGTAGCCATGCCCTCAGAAACTTTGTATTTCTCACCCATTGTGAGGAAACAGTACTACAATAATAATTAATTCAGCTGAAAACTTAGTGGACTTAAATAAAATTAATTTCAGTAAATGTCATGTATATTGGGGACTATAGAGCAGAATGCAGCATTACTGGGAATGCTGGAGTCTGTAGTTCAGAAGTGGAGCAGGACTGGGTTGTTGGCTTTTCTTAAACCTTCACTAGGGCAACTAAAATCTGTTAGTACTTAAAAGTCTACTAAACTTCTTAAGGTGTTAGTAGCTGTCTGGGTAATAGCTGTTTTCATTTTCTTCTTGCTTTTTAAATGAAACTGCTCTGATTCTGCCAGCTCCCAAAACCTGATTTTGTTTTCAGTCCATAAGTAATGTTGTCAAGAATTTTTTTTTTTCCAGGAAAGCTCTTTTTTGTGTCTGCATTTAATCTTGTATGGCAGCAGCAAATTAAAATTAATGAAATTCAGATCAATGCTTGTGTCTTGTACTGCTGTTGTTAATGAGCAATGCCCATTTGAGTAAGGGCTTACTGTGAGGGTGGTGAGACACTGGAACAGGCTCCCAGGGAAGTTGTGGATGCCCCATCCCTGGAAGTGTTCAAGAACAGGTTGGACAGGGCCCTGAGCAACCTGGTCTAGTGGAAGGTGTTCCTGCTTACAGCAGGGGTGTTGTAACAAGATAATTGTGAAGGTCCCTTCCAGTCCAAACCATTCTATGATTTTCTGACTTGTGCTTGATAATCACTGTTGCAATGGACTATTTGACACATGCAGTGTACAATTAAAATCTCCAGCTTTGAAGTGCAGAAATTAAGGGAAGACTTAAAATGATGCTATAACCAAGTGAAAGGTGGTAAACTTTTCCTCCACAATTTCTAAATTTCAGTTGATGATGCCTCAGCACCCATTAGAGGACCTGGAGATGGCATGGAAACAGAGCAGACAGCTGGAGCAGTGGAAGTAATCACTGGAGCCAACACTGCAAGCCATCACATCCACCACAGCCCCCATAAAAAGACAGCTTCTTCCCTGAGTCCTGGAGTTCTGCAGCTGGGGAAAGTACATGCAGATAAATCAGTGGAGATTGAAGCTATTCGAATATTAGTCCCCAAAGCAGCCATCACCCATGTTGTTCCAACTAAAAATGCTAAGGTAGCTAAATCTGCGGGACATAAAGCAGACACATTCCATCAGTCAGATGGAGCCACAGATCCCAAGAAAGAACAGACAGAGCTGAAAAATGCAATTGAAAAGCTAAAGAATTCAGAAAAGCGGTTGTTACAAGATAAAGAAGGTCTCTCTAATCAGCTGCGTATACAGACCGAGGTAAGAAGTTAAAGGTGTTTTCTCTCCCACAGCTGAACTGTTTTGGTTTGTAGAAGCAGTTTGTGAATGTGAGGAAAGAGAACTGCTATGACACTTTAGCCTTGAAACAAATACATTCCCTTTTGAACTTACCAGCTAAGATATAGAGTAGAAGTACATCAAAGTATTCCAGTGCTGCTTCTCTGACAACAGATGAAAGAGTCAAAGACTTAGCTAGGAGAAACACACTAGATAGCTGCAGAGGAATGAATCTTTCATGAGGAAAGACTTTGCTCCTTAATCGCTAAATGGAAAGTGTTATGCCAACCGCTGAAAGGTTGACTATAACTTCCTACTTCAAACACGTGTGGATGTATTGTCTAACCCTTTGTTATCTTACTGATGCAGGAGTTGAATACTACTGAAACTTTGTTTCCTGCAGTAGGCTTTCATTCTTCCTCTTTGACTGTTAGAATTTAAACAAGAAGGTGTTGGATGTACATTAGGCTCAAATGTTTATGCTTGCCTGGATACATCCCATTCTGGAAAGAGAAAGATAATTTACTGTTAGCAATTTGCAGTAAGTTGCACTGCATTCTCAAGAGTGTTTATTCTCTATTGATAGTTACAAGAGAGTCTGGTCTAATTCTAGGTCAATCGGGAGTTGAAGAAATTACTTGTTGCTTCTGTTGGGGATGATCTGCAGTATCACTTTGAACGGATGGCTCGTGAGAAGAATCAGCTCATCCTAGAAAACGAAGTCCTGGGCCGGAATATGGCTCAGTTGTCAGAGCAGTTGGAGCGCATGTCTATACAATGTGATGTGTGGAGAAGCAAGTTCCTAGCAAGCAGGTATTCCCTCTCATGGAGCTGTCCTAACAGCATTCTCCTTCAGTCTTTCATCATATACACTCATTGCAGTGTGGTTTCATATGCAGAGGACAGCCACAAGAGCCATAGTGATACCTACTGTGAAATCTGAGAATACAGGAAAGGTATAAAGAAAGTAAGCTCCTTGTAAATCTGAATAGTCCTGCTTTTCAGAGCTAATACAGTGAGTCCTAGCCCTCCCTAAAATCTCAACTACAGCTCTTGTCAAGAAAGCAAGAGAAGCTCTTAATTTTGATAAAAATGCATGCAGTTTAGGGTATAAAAATGTCTTCTAAGGCAGCTGACTTTTCTTACAGGTAGTTAGTTGATTTTCACCCCCAACCCCCAAGCATGGTACAGTCATCAATTTGAGAAGAAGCTGATATGTTTAGGAGCTCTGCTTATAGTCAGTTAGCAATCTACTATAGAAGAAAGAGTAGGGGGACCTCTTTATTAAACGCTGGTTGTGTTACTGCTCAGGACGTTACTGTTACTTCTTTAACCATAAAAGCAGGTCTGAAAGTCAAAATCTCATTTGACAGTGACTTTAACTTGCTTAGTTGTCTTACCACATCTCTAAATGGTGTTCTAGGATTTTCAATTTTCTACTATACTTGGATATAACTGACTGAATTATG